GGGGGGCTCTTTGTTAAGTTAAAGAACGCTACATGTATAGGACAAAAGATTACAAAAAGGAGTTTACCTTCATCAAAGGGTATCATTACTCAAAATGGAATCTAATGTAAAAGAAACGGTCTATTAAGATGAACCTTGCATTCCTCATTTTGAAAATGCTTAGAAAGCACCATTACAATTGTAACACAGAATGGAAGCATTACAAAAGGAACGACCACTTCTATGAACACAAATCTTACATTTGTCAGTGTAAGGTTAGGGACACGGTGACACGGACACGGTGACACGGACACGGTGACACGGACACGGTGACACGGACAGGGACAGTCAGTTGCTGTCACAGCAACACATCAAAAAGCGTGCACGCCAAAACCGCTCATGATTTCTTTTAAAACACATCAACCCGGCTATGTTGAACACGGACAGGCACAGACAGCGACAGCCAGCGACAGTCAGGGAAATTGGAAAAGTGCGTGCACTACTTCTCCTGTCTGTCTGTTTCAAGGGAGTTAAATAGATCTAAAGATAGGATCACAGTGATTGTTCTTGTCAAGATGGAGGATTTGGAAGAGAAACTGATCACTGCGGTGCAAGAAAGGCCAGCAATTTATGACAAGAGCGAAAAACATCACGCTAATCGTGATTATATGTTGAAGCAGTGGGAGACCATAGGCCATGAATTCGAAAATATTCAATGACATTTTCCTCATCATTCACAAGCTGTGGGAGGAGAGGGTGACATTCACCTAAGAAAAAGCGTTTTTTGTTAATACATGTAGGATGAACCGCATATCTTCGATGAGAAATTCGTGAACGTCTTAATTTCCCTCGTGACCACAATAACAATAAGAGTTTCTTCTTCTTTGTCAGCGCCATGATTGACAATGTTGCTGTCTCTTGCTGCCTGTTTGAATGTGACCACATTTCCCTGTGCCTGTCCGTCCCTGTGGCTGTCCGTCCCTGTGGCTGTCCGTCCCTGTGGCTGTCCATCCCTGTCCCTGTCCATCCCTGTGCCTGTCCATCCCTGTGCCT